GTATACAACTTCTTCCTCCCTCTCTCGGGTCTCATTTGAAGATACTGGAAATAATAAGAGAGAAGCAGGAGGGGACAGGGGCACGATCAGTATTTTGTTTGTGAGTCTATGTACCTTGCCTTTCTCCCCAAACCCATTGAATCTGATGTGACTGATTTACTGCCCTGTGGGGTGGTTCCTTTCCGCCAGATCCCCTTCTAGGGGACACATTGATCAATCCTTTTCTAAGAGTAAAGAGAGGGGGAGACAGTGACTTATGATGAAAATAGAGCCAGGAGGTGGAGTCTCCTCCAGATAATAATTTCCTTTTTACTTAATGAGAAAATAAACATATTGAGTTGGTGAGTGATTCACCTGACTGAAAACATATTAAATCTCTTGATTAAAATGCAAATATTCATTAGTTTTTAAAAATAAAAAAAACTCTTCCAATGTTAACTTTTTAAAAATATGGGTTTTTTTTTTTATTTTAGAGAGAGGGGAAGGAAGAGGGAGAGAGAAACATCCATCAGTTGTCTTCTGCATTCACCCCAACCAGGGACTGAACCCACAACCTGAGCATGTGTCCTGACTGGGAATGGAGCCCGCAGCCTTTCGGTGCGTGGTACAAGACTCAATCAACTGAGCCAGACAGGCCAGAGCAATGTTAAATTTTAAGTATAATATTGATGGAAACTTTTTTAATCAAAAAGATATGGAGTCAGTCTATTTGGCTGTAAAATGAAAGCTGGGGCCAAAATGTTCCTGCTTTTCAGGAGATCATAAAAATGAATTATCATGTTTTAAAATGTGTGGGAGCCAGGCTGGTATGGCTCAGTGGTTGAGCTTCAACCCATGAACCAGGAGATCACAGTTCGATTCCCAGTAAGGGGCGTGCAGGAGGCAGTCTCTCTCATCCATTGATGTTTCTAACTCCCTCTCCCTTCCTCTCTCTGAAATCAATAAAAACATATTAAATAATATAGAAATCGTCCTTTTAAAAAAATGTGGGGGAATAATGGCTTAAGTTGAGATCATGGTAAGGCCGTTGATACATTTCCTTCAGAATACCTTCCTGCTTCAGCGAGTCAGAGCTCTGTCCTCCGAACCAGGAGCAATCACCTTTTTCCTTTGGCTCCCTCCAGTACTTCCCATGGGTTTCTGTTACAGCACTTAGCACTTTCTACCCTGTATTGTAGTTCTGTGTGTATTCGTCTGTCTCCTTGACTGTAAGTACCGTCTGGGTAGGGCCATAACCTTGGGTCCCGATTCACTAGTCCGTCTTTGTAGCTAGCACAATGCCTTCCCATTATAGACTGTCAATGCAAGAATACGTGAGAGACTGAGTCAGCAGCACTGGTTTCTTTCCTGGCGTTGGCACCACGTCTGCTGAGCACAGCAGACCCCCGCAGACATGAGGCATACCCGTGTAACCCTATGGAAATCAAATCCCACTCCAAGTAGGAGGCATTATTTTTTAATATAGTTTTATTGATTTCAGAGAGGAAGAGAGAGAAATATCAATGATGAGAGAGAATCAATGATCAGCTGCCTCCTGCACGCCCCCTATTGGGGACCAAGCTCAGAACCTGGGTATATGCCCTTGACCAGAATCAAACCCAGGACCCTTCAGTCCACAGGCCGATGCTCTATCCACTGAGCCAAACCGGGTAGGACTACACTTTACTTTTTTATTGTTTAAAAATATGTTTGATTTTTAGAGAGAGGAAGGGAGAGGGAGAAACATCAATTGGCTGCCTACTGCATACCCCCTACTGGGGATCAAGCCCCCAACCCCGGTACATGCCCTGACCTGGAATCTAACCCAGTGGGATGATGCTCAACCAACTGAGCCACACTGGCCAGGGCTACCATTGTACACTTAAAAAAAATTATACATTTCTTAGATCATCTGGAAACCGGAAGGGCTGAGCTCTAAAATGAATAGCCCAGAGTGGGGGTAGTGGGATATACTGGTATATATCTCCTGTGAAGGTCAGAGTAACTGGTGGGTAGGAGACTGGGTGCAGGCAGCCCACTGAAAACTGGGTGAGGCGGTTTACTATAAACTGAAAGTCTTTCATCATGTCTTGAGGAAACCTGTAATGAGAATAGGAAAACCGCTGGAGGGTGAGAGCCTTAGGCAGGGTATAATGGAGCACAGGGGAAAGGGAGAGAAAAGATAAGGGGTCTAAACTGCCTGACTAGTGATATGATAGGGGAGGATAAATTATCCTGGGGGTGAGGTTCTTGCTTTCCCATTTTTTTCCCTTTCTACACATCTGGAGCTTTCTGCCCTGATATGTTTCTGTATCTGGCCCATCATCCTTGCTCTAAGGGTCAAAGGGACGATGAGGCCTGGGCACAAAAGGAGGTTGTGATGATGTCTAAGGGTTGAAATTTCCTGAGTACAAGTAGGGCTTGTAATCTGGTGGAGACAAACTGTTATACATTTTAGTATTATTGGGGCAAAAGCTAGAACAACAGGAATTATGACAAATGGTCTGGTGCAGTGGTTGGCAAACCGCGACTTGCAAGCTAGATGCGACTCTTTGGCCCCTTGAGTGTGGCTCTTCCACAAAATACCGTCTTCTGCACATGGGCCACGAAGTTTCAATCGCACTGTACGTGTGCACCCGCACATGGTATTTTGTGGCAGAGCCACACTCAAGGGGCCAAAGAGCCGCATGTGGCTCGTGAGCCGCCGTTTGCCGACCACAGGTCTGGCGGAAGGAAAGAGACACTAGTCTGAAGAGCTGTAGCCACATATACCCATATGAACATCAGTGTCACCAGGAGTCCAAGTTCTGGCTTACAGAGAATTCCTCTCTCGGACAGCAGATAATATGCAAAGTCAGCAGCCGTCTAATTTCATTCACTAATTCCTTACACAGCTAGCTGTCAGGTTACCGTTTTAAGCAAATACCAAAAAAGAACCTCTTTTTATTCTGGAATCCAACCTTTAGGATTGTGGTTTAGTAACCACCCAATAAAGTATATTCTTCATCTGTGGCAAAATCAGGAATTACATGATACTGATGACTCCCAGTTCAGATTTGTATCAATTCAGATCTGTATAAGTTAAATGTACAAACTTCCAGTTGTAAGATACGTCCTGGGGTGTGATGTGCAGCATGGGGACTATAGTTAACAAAGCTTTATATCTGAAAGTTGCTAAGAGAATCATTCTTAAAAGCTCTTATCACAAGAAAATATATAAGTACGTGTGGTGATGGATGTTAACTATGTTTATTGTGGTAATCATTTCACAACATATACATAGATCAAATCATACTAAAACTAATATGATGTCATATGTCAATTATGTCCCAATTAACAAAATGTGTTCTTGTCTAGCTGCGGATGGTTTCCTCGCATTGACCCAGAGGTCTTCCTTGTATATGTATCTTCACTTCAAAATTTCCTGGAAATCACCTGTCACTGGGGAGACTGGGACACCTTGGTTCTTGTCTTCTTGGGCAAAGATTTCAATGAAGAGACAACGTGTAGAAAAGCAAGCAATTTATTGACCACAGCCGCCACATACCTACGACAGTGAACAAGGACCCGTATAGAAGAAGCAACAGCAGCGCCTGGGCTGGGCTGCCTTGGCTCACTGGGAAGTCAGAGAAAAGGGGGCTTATTCTGGGAGGAGCTGCCTGCCCATTGCTCCCCTGGTTGCACACCTCATGGGTCCCTTAGAGGTTAGGGGTGGGTGCATGAGGGGGAGGGAATGGCACCAGCGTGCTGCCTGGAGGGAGAGCGCCCTGGGACCTTCATTTTCAGGGGTTTTAAAGGCTGGGTGTTTGGGGGAAATCTTAGGAGAGGGTCAGCTTCACGCTGATGTACCAAAATGAGATTTACTCTCTTAATGTGTCTGTCCTTGGGTGTGGTTGGCAAATGCCACCTTGTTGGGTTCTGTTATCTGTGCCCCTGAGTAGGGTGATTTAAGTTAGTCACCCCCTGGTTGGGGAGAAGCGCAGTGCCCTTGATTTAGGGAAGACGGGATTTACTAGGTGGCTGCAGACGGCTCTTTAACTTAATTTCCCTATTCCGCTTGCATCACGCATTTGTACTACCGTCACTTTGGAACACACTTTGCAAGAACCCAAACCAGAAACTCTCTCTACGGTAATACAAACGGAAGTTTTCGAGTCCGAGTCCCCCTCCAAATGGGCTTCCCTTGCAGACCTGGGAGGGCAGAAATGCGTTTTTGCTCGAGGGCAGTCCGTGCGGTGGAGAGCGCTCGCCCCACAAAGGGAGCTCCTGCCGTTTCCTTTACCTGCTTTTCGGAGACACCGTGGGGACCGGAGGCATCTGCGAGCCGCCGAAAGGCAGGCGCCGGGGAACAACGGAGGCGCTGGGAGGCCGGGCCGCGGGCGGGGGT